CCATTAAAATGCAAATCAATTCAAACCAAACACCAAATCAATTACCGATGAGTTGACAGTCGTATTGACGACGACTTAAATCGTTGTCCAATACTTTGACGGCTCTATCGATACGATGGAAGTCTTCACACGAAGTCGTGGACTCAGTCTTATCCGGATGTGTCTAATGATCAATAAATTGGACACAATTTAGTCAACAAGTGCACGATTGTCTCTAAATTATCACTAATCATACCATAAGAGCTAATTTCTTGTACTGTTTTCGGATCTCTTGTTTGGACGCCTTTTCATCGCATTGAAGGACTGAATAGTGAGTTGACATCTCTTCGGATGACATCTTCAACGGTTCACTAGTCCTCAGATGGTGTCCAATATATCACTCAAAACACCATTCAATCAAAAGTGCAATCATTTACTAAACACCAGAGTAGGCCAGACATTATTTATTTATGTTTTTTACAGGTAAACCATTTCAGAGTCAATCATAATTAATGTTATATTATTTGACAATTTTTATAATCCCTTTCATTATAAGTAATTATTAATCCCTACTCATACATGTATTATGATATTTGTGATTAGTTTTTAATCAAATGATTACAAGTACTGTAATAATGCTCACTCTTACCCACCTGAACACTTCTGCTAAACACTCATTCAATGCAAACCATTCACTCATACTGTAAAAGACGTCAACTTTTGACATCTCTTTGTATTTTATAAACACTTCATTTGAATGCAAATTAATATAATTTTTGAATATTTATTCAATTTATAAATTATCTGAACATTAAATGCAATAAATTAATGCTTTTAATTAAATTAAATCCAATTTTGTATGAATTAACAAATGGACGTAATTTGTATGAAATGAGTGTTTGTTTATAAACGGGAAACACATGTCGTTTGAAAACATTGCATGAGATGATCATTTTGTCCACAATTTGGTGGTCATTATTGGATTACAGTTACAACTGATCACTGGTGACAATGGTGAAGCTCCTGGAGCTTTCAAAATTCAGTTTAGACCGCTTTATAGTCAACAATCCGGCCCTTCCTGTGGACTTTATTAGGAACGCCTACTATAACGGCATCGGAAGGTATGACCACTTTATTGACTTTAGTGTCTAATGCCATGATCTGATCCACCCGTTCAGACACGTGTGTCAACTGCAGAGGATTACAGTGAAGTTCTGTAAGAACAGTACGGATGCGAAGGGTGTCCGACAGTTCATTGAGACAGATCTGGTGGACTGGAGCCGACACAACCCCGGAGTAG